TTGGCGCCATCGCTCTCTGCCTCGTTGTCGCTCTCCCTTTGGAAAAAAATTAGTCTCCGAGAGAGGATGCCGCTGCCAGGAGAGCCTTTCGTCGGTGGATGCCTAGTTCCGAGGCCCCCAGCTACACAGCTCACTCATTAATCTAACAGTGTGACCAGGATTGCAGCAGTTCCGCACGCACTTAAACACGCGTGTACACCTGTGTCGTTACAGTTCCTGATGGGGAGAGCAGTCGGTCTAAGTGCGTTCTTGTCGCTGGTTCTCGCTCTGCCAAGTAGGCCCAACAGCACAGTGGCAGTAAGTGCTTCTTAAAAACCTGACTTCTTCGCCAACCGTTCAAACCAGATTTGGGGAGGGCCAAGGGAATTCTAGCAGAGAAGTGCTGTAAGTCATGTGGAAGGCTCTGTGGATATATATGATTTTTTTCTGGGTAGAGGATCTATGATACTCTATTTTTAAAATATGTTTTTATTGATTTTAAAGGGACAGCAAGGGAGGAGGAGAGAGAGAAATATCCATGAGAAAGAGAAACATCACTCGGCTGCCTCCTGCACGCCCCCTGCTGGGGATCGAGTCCAAAGACCCGGGCATGTGCCCTGACTGGTGACCTCCTGGTGCTCTGGAGGATGCTCAACCAACTGAGCCACACCGGCCGGGGCTATCCTCTCTCTATATGTATTTTTTTTAATTTATAAAAGGCCTAAATATGTAAGGATGACTGCTCTACAACCTAACATTAAGGTTTACCCCCACTGTGGGAGGTCCCTTTGAATAATAAATTGTGGACGGGACGTGAGAGAATAGCGCGCAGGTGTTTGAAAGCACGTGTTTCCCAGTAACCGGCTTGCTCATCCCCTACTGGCCTCCTCTCCCCTCGGCGGCTCGGCACCGCATGCCGGTGGGAGGGGATGCGTGCTCACTCCGCCCCTGCTTGTTCTGGACACCGAGCGAGCGTGAAGCAAAGGGGCGATGGCCCAGACCAGGAGCGCGGGGTGAGCGCCGGCGGAGAGACTGGGCAGCCTTGGCGATTGCTCGGGGCAGCGTGTGGGGCCGGGAGACTCCGTGCTCTGGGGCCCTGCCTCAGCCTTTCTTTAGGGCAGTGGTTCTCACCTTGGCTGCACATTAGAATCACCTGGAATTCTTTTTAAAATCCTGATTTCTGGGCCTCGTCCTCCGGAAATTCTGTTTCTTTGTTATGGGGTGGGGCCACAACATTAGTAACAAAGAAACAGAATTTCCAGAGGATGAGCCCCAGAAATCAGGATTTTAAAAAGATTCCCAGGTGATTCTCATGTGCAGTCAAGATTGAGAACCGCTGCTTTAGGGTTTGTTTGAAGGATATTGGTTCCGGTAAGGGGCCCCCCAAAAAGCTCTTGAGAGAATCTCTGTTTCTGAATCATTTAAATAGTTGCATTAATATTGTGATAATAGCCCTAACTGGTTTGGCTCAGTGGATAGAGTGTCGGCCTGTGGACTGAAGGGTCCCGGGTTTGATTCCAGTCAAGGGTATATACCTTGGTTGCGGGCACATCCCCAGTAGGGGGCGTGCAGGAGGCAGCTGATCAATGTTTCTCTCTTATTGATGTTTCTCTCTATCCCTCTCCCTTCCTCTCTGTAAAAAATCAATAAAATATATTTTTAAAAAATATTGTGATAAAAGCCTCATGCTTCAGCCCTGGCCAGTGTCCGCAGTGGTTAGAGCGTTGGCCCACGCACCAAAGGGTCCCGGGTTCGATTCCCCGGGGAGGGCACATACTCAGGTGGCAGGTTCGATCCCCGGCCCCGGAGGGCGAGTGCACAGGGAGGCAATCCATCGATGGAAAAAATATCCTCAGGTGAGGATTGACCAGCAACAAAAAAAGCCTCAGACCTCATCATCAGTTCCAATTCCAGCACGGAGATTTGGCCGATTGGAAATAAGTCATTTTTTCGTTCAATATGAATACGTACCAATGTCCATGTACATTCTCACTTTCCACACACTAGATTTTCACTTGCAGTCACATGCCCGGGTTAGGGAACAGGAGTGAGGGCTACCTCCAATTCAAGGCAGACAGCACGGGGTTGACTGGGGACGTGCCACTGAGAGGCCCTGACCACATCAATTCCAGTCCCTCCCCTTAGTCAGATCCTGTCACCGAAATACAATCCCACCCTCACCAGTCGGAAACAGGTGGTCTCGAGTGTGTTCCCAAGGCCATCAGAAGCAGCGCCCACTCTGTTTCCTGGGTTGCAGACATTTTGCTAGAAAGGTTTCCAACAGTTTCTTTCCCACACTTGTCACAAAATGTTTTTAAAACTGAAATGTGTGACAGGGGAACACACTTGGATGGAGCAGCACCGAGTCATTTTGGGGGCTGCTTGGTTTCGTTTGTGTGTGTCTCCTGGGTTACAAGCACGAGATCAAGAGAAGAGGTCTAGGTGTCTAATTGTCTTCCTGGTTCTTTGTGTTCTGGGCACTATTCCTACTATTCAGGGCACTTACGTCCGTCTGTCCCCTCGACCTGCCCTGTCCCAGTCGGTGGCCACTGGCCACCTATGGCTATCAAGCCCTTGACTGTGGTTGATCCAGACTGACAAGTCCTGGGAATGTAAGAGATTCACCAGAAGATGTCAAAGTCTTGGTACAAAACAAACAAGAAATGAGTATGAATTATCACCTGTCATTCTCACATTGGTTATATGGTGGAATGACAATATTTTGAATATATGGGGTTAAATAAAGCACATTCTCAGAACTGATTTTAACGCTTTCCTTTTGCTTTTCTAATGATGCTCCCAGAGATTTTTAATTACACGCGTGGCTCACATTATATATTGCCCATTGAACAACACCGCTCTAGACACCCAGTGTTCCCATCTGTGAAATGGGGGTAAGAGTAGCATTCTTCAGAGTTCACGGGAAAATCCAATCGAGCAAATGCCCGTGAAGTTACTGGGTAAAATATAAAGTGTAGAGAGAGTCTACAGTGCTGATGACCACGATGGCGATTCTCAAGCTCCAGCTCCCCCTGTCAGATTTTTCTGGAAATGTTCATGGACAGGCCTTGCCATGACTCTCTCTAAAGTGCTCCCGGGCGATGAATGTGAGGCAGGACCTGCCCAGGGAGCTCACATTAGCAACAGTGTCAGCCAGGGGGTCGCCAATGCTGAGAGGTAATGGTAATAGCAAGACACCGGTCGACTTTACTAGCAGCCTTAGGCCAGGTACTGGGGTAAGTTAAGTGCTTTTACCATCTTGATTCTCAACACAGTAAACCCTCGATTTTGCAGACCTCGATTTCGCAGACCTCGATTTCACAGACCTCAGATTAACGGACAAAATTTTCAGTCCCTATGTCATATGTGAAAATAAACACCCTGCTAATTTTAAAATGCTTTTAACCAGGATTTTTCTTATAATTAAATTGACAGGTTATTTTTTTGTTATTAATCCACTGTTATTTTTAACAAATGTTAGCGAACAGGCCGTATGTTGGAAAAAAAACACTGTAGTAATTTCGCCACCATGACTAAATATTACATACCTACAACTCTAGTCGACATACTTAAATCCAAGAATCACTGCTCATAAACAATGTTTGCGGAATGACTAGCACGTGATCCGCCGCATGACCAGCGGTAATTGGTTCACTGGCCCTGCCGTCAGGAGGCGGGACTTGCTGCAGCAGGTGGAGCAGGTGCGGCCCATTTCCCACGGCGCTAAGCCCCGCCCAGCCGCGCCCTTCTGCTCATCAGGTGACGGGTGAGTGCCTGCATTTACTAGACCCGCTGAGTCTCGCTTTAACATGATGGTAATACATATAGACAACTGTTTGTGAAATTAAATTTTTCGTACATACTTAATTTCAATTATATAAACGTGTCTACATAAATCAAAACAGGTACACTAACTAATTTGTCCATTCTGTAACATACACCTTCAGGAAACCTACTAATTAGCCCTGATGAGTCCGTTATTTCGAGGTTTCACTGTACTACACTGCAGCTCCGAGCACGAGGTGGACTCGTATTTTCCTGCCTGTAAACTTGGATGCTTCTGATACGTTGTGTGTGTCTACACTGAATGGAAGGTGGTAAAACGTGGCTTCCAGCAGCAATTCAGTGGACAGGGCGGAAGGTGAGGCGGCCGTGTCTGGGCGGGCCGTGTGACCACGGATAGTGTACAATGCGGAAGGGGTGAGGGCTTCTGAAGTTGGCTTCAAGGGATGTCCCTCGCCTGAAGTTGCACCTGCTCAAGGATGACTTCCAAAGAGAACAGTCTGTTTCACTCCATCCAGCCATCTGTCAAGATGGACTGCTCACCCCACGGCCCTGGACCCAAGACCCTCCTTCACGTTGGCCCCGGACGCCTCTCCACCTAAGAAGCCTGAAAATGCCCCGCAGGTGACCACCACCTTGACTTGAGTTCGATCTTTCTAAAATCTGGATGCCTTTCCACATTCTCCACCATAGAAACCTTAGCCCGGTGCAGCGCCGCCTCTCGGAGAACCCTGTCAACAGCCTCACCCCTGCGTGTGAGTTACTCTGATTTACTTGTTATCTCTCCTACCAGGTTGTTCTTGTTAATACTAACATCTCTCTCTCTCTCTCTCTCTCTCTCTCTCTCTCTCTCTCTCTCTCTCACACACACACACACACACACACACACACACAGAGGATCTTGCATATAACAGGGCCCTATACACTCGTGCTCCAATATTTATTGAACACCTATTCTGTGCCGGGCTCTAAATAATTAGAGCAACAGAGTATAATACAAATCCGGGTGCATGTACCTCTTGTTCTAGCAAAGGAATGCAATTTGAAGAAAATTGCTGTTAAAGAATATAAAGAACTACAACAACCCGGACCCCGGAAGAGAACACATGTGCATGAAAGGGTTGCAGGCTGAGTCGCATTCTAAACGCTGCAGGGAGCGCTTGTGATGAAAACCGGTGGCGTGTGCTCCTTGAAAAGCAAACAGACCTTCATAGTGTCACCAACGCAGCCCGGCTTACCTGTTCTAACTGCAGGTCCCGCCTCTCCGTGTTCCTCGTCTGTGTTCCTCCATCGTCGTCATACTTCGCCGTGAGCGAGCCTTTCTCAGACTCCAGCGGGGCCCCAAAGGCGCCCGGAGGGTAACACAGCCCGCGGGCCCGCCCCGGGGTTGTGACTCCGTGGGTCTGGGGTGGAGCTTGAGGGTTGGATTTGCAACGAGCTCCCAAGTGAGGCCGATGCTGCCGTGGATTTAGGTTCATTAAACCACCTCCTGCGGTTCACACAGACCCCCGTGGGGCTCCCCCGAAATGCCCTGCCTGGAGGCAGTTTCCTCACACAAGGTGGGGGAGAACAGAACGAGATCACGTCGTGCATGGCGCCGTCGGGTCTGAGGCCCCCATCCCAGAGATGGGAGCGGAAAGCCACAGTGTCCATGAGGCCGTAGCCCAGGTGGAAGCACGCGCTTCATCAGATCCCCCACCGGGCGGTCCTGGCCCATCAGAAACGCTGGTCTCCAAACTCCATGCTTTCCTGACCCCGTGGCCAGATCACAGGCTAGCGCAGGCCGGCCGCAGGTCTCGGAGGGGGTCTGCAGGGAGAGAGCTGGCGGAGGGGGTCTGCAGGGAGAGAGCTGGCCGGAGGGGGTCTGCAGGGAGAGAGCTGGCGGAGGGGTTCTGCAGGGAGAGAGCTGCCGGAGGGGGTCTGCAGGGAGAGAGCTGGCCGGAGGGGGTCTGCAGGGAGAGAGCTGGCGGAGGGGGTCTGCAGGGAGAGAGCTGGCGGAGGGGGTCTGCAGGGAGAGAGCTGGCGGAGGGGGTCTGCAGGGAGAGAGCTGGCGGAGGGGGTCTGCAGGGAGAGAGCTGGCGGAGGGGGTCTGCAGGGAGAGAGCTGGCCGGAGGGGGTCTGCAGGGAGAGAGCTGGCGGAGGGGGTCTGCAGGGAGAGAGCTGGCGGAGGGGGTCTGCAGGGAGAGAGCTGGCCGGAGGGGTCTGCAGGGAGAGAGCTGGCGGAGGGGGTCTGCAGGGAGAGAGCTGGCGGAGGGGGTCTGCAGGGAGAGAGCTGGCGGAGGGGGTCTGCAGGGAGAGAGCTGACGGAGGGGGTCTGCAGGGAGAGAGCTGGCGGAGGGGGTCTGCAGGGAGAGAGCTGGCGGAGGGGGTCTGCAGGGCGAGCTGGCCGCGCGCACAGAGCCATGGCCCGGCCCGTTTCCTCGCTTCATGCAGTGATGCCATCAGAGCGCCCGCAGGTCGCCTGCATTGTCCCTTGCCTGGAACGCGTGGGTTTTCCTAAATGGAGGCCTTGGGCCGCCCCGAGCCGGGTCCCGACTGCGAGAGGAAGAGCGCCGAGATCCATCCGCGGCGTCTCCTCGGCTCCTGCTGGCAGCTCCCACGCCGAAAAGCAAAGCCTCCGCGGGACCCCACGAAGTTCAATGCCAGCCAGTCCTCACTCCTGCTCGCGGCCAGCGGGCTCCGTGGCCTCGCTCCGTGCTGTGTCTCTAACCACTAGACGGGACCGTGCTCAGGAATGACCTGTGAGCCGGTGGTGAGAGCGCGCTGGCCTGCAGGCGGCTGGCCCCGAGCTGCCCTGAGGGTTGGAGGTCGCGGTCCAGGCAGGACGCATCCGAGAGAAGGGCGCTGTCGCTGACCGCCCAGCGCTCAGCCTGCCCTGGAGCCTGCAGTGTGGTTCCCAGGGGGGAGCCAGGATACCGGAATGGCTTACGGGCCGGAGTGGATCGGCCTAAAGGAGCTGGAACTGATGGCCCCCGGAGGAGAGGGCGGGGAGAGCGCCTGCGTCCTTGCCGACCTCGCCGGGGCCTGCACCTGCACCTGCACCTGCACCTGCACCTGCACCTGCACCTGCACCTGCACCTGCACCTGCACCTGCGGCGGCTGTAAGGCGCGAGCCTTTCACCGCGTTCCCAGGGGCGCCGCAGTCTCAGGCCGCACAGCGGGCGCTTCGGACATGGCCTCCGCAAGGATACAGAGTGCGGGGTCTCCTCTTCAAGGCGGGGAAGGGCTCTTGTGTCCCTGAAAAGGAAAAAGGAGATGGTAAATTCAGGGGGAAATGTGGTCCCTTAGGAGACCCCCCCCAGCCCCAGGCCACTCTGTCCCCTGGAAGCGAGAGCCTTCCAGAAGCCAGACACCTGCCCCGCTTCGGGGAGGACGATACAATGGGCACCGGGGGACGTCGCAGTTACCCTCACGAATAAAGTGTTCCAACAGCAACATAAAAAGCCCGAGGCCGGTGACGCAGGGAATACAGAGCTCCTTGGGTTGTGTGGTGCCGACAGCAGCTCAATAGTTCGCAATTAACGTCACCAATAAGGCATCACGCCAGGAGGTGCTGGTTAGGAATGGCGGCTCGGTGGCGAGTTTAGATGAACCTGAATGGAATCAAGCGTGATGAGGTGTTGGCAGGGGCTAGGAGACTCCCTGCGCCTGTCCGTATGAGAAAAGAGAGAGACGCCAGGGTCACAGGCACACAGAAGGCACGTGAGGACACGGGGAAAGTGTGGCCACCTGCAGGCTAAGGGGAGGCCACGGAGACCCCAGCCCTGCCAGCACCTCGATCGTGGACTCCCAGCCTCCGGAACTGGGAGGAGATCATTTTGTTGTTGTTGTTCTAAGCTCTGCCCCATCTTTGGCATTTTGTTCTGGCAGCCTTAGCAAACTAATACACCGCCCATGTACAAACATCAAGAGAAGGGATCGTCCCCGCTTTGCAGAAAGAGGAGAAACATTTGAATTCTTTGGGAATGGCCTCTCGTAACGGTTTGCAGATGTAAGGGCACTGGTGGGCAGTGCCACCTGGTGCAATGGCATCATCACACATGGAATGAGCCACATTCAAGGACACAATCCGTCACAGGATGGATCGAGCGCCAGGGGAGTGTCCCCTGGATCCCGACACCAGGCTAATGGGGGGACTCGGCACTGTGGGGAGCAGGTCTGGCGTGTCTCGGGGCCACGGCTGAATGTTCTAACATCGTTTGGACACACAGGCGATAGGAAGGCAGCTCCCCTGTTGTGAGACGTGAGAGAAATAGGACCTCTGCCTGGGTCCTCGGCGGCCTAATGAAGTTCAGGCACGTTTTCCTGGGCTGGCGGCTGCCGCTCGCTTTCATGAGGGTGGAAGAGGTTAGCTCACACAAACCAGTGTTGACAGTGGAGAAGTAAACAAGAATCCTAATTAATGTGTTTGCTCATTAGACTCCGGGACGGGCGTTTCACCGTAACACATGAATTAGGTGATGATTCCGCACACATGTGCCCCTTGGGGGGGGGGTCTTCGGCGCCCTGTTGCTCATGCGTGGCCTCCAGAAACATCCTCAAGCTCTGGTTGATCTCCAGTAAGTGCCTTTCCTACCTCCTCTCCCTGCCGCCCGCCCCCAGCAGCTGTGGGCCCCTGAGCTCATCAGCGCTCTCAGGGAGCTGCCTGGGAGACCAGGCTCAGCACCTCACCTCCAAGGCGGATGCAGAGACACCCGGACGAGGCAGACCCACCTGCGGGGAGGCAGAGGGAGCTGGAGAAGGGGGTCCTGGATGGTCTAGGGCTCTAGGCTGAGTGACATCTCACCACCGCCCCCTTGCCAAGTGGAAAGAGCCAGCAAGAGGAAAAGGCAGGCCCGCCTTCCTGGTCATCCGATCTCCTGGACAAGAAGGGAATCAGCCAGCACAGGCCTGGCACGGGGCCTGCTCTTCCTGGGAGTCAATAGGAGTTGGAATCATTTGACCATAAAATCTTGAAATGAGGGCGTTCTCAGCTCTCCCACTGCAGGAGCAGATTCTGGGGGGCGGTGGTGTTTATGGGCCACAAAGACTCCAGCAGCTGGAAAGATCTAAGCTTGAGTTTTGAATAGTTTTGAATATTTGATAAATTATAAAATGGCTTCCTCTCCTCTTGCCTTTTCCTGCTGGGCCCCGGCTCTTCCCGGTCTCCCCCTCTGCCCTTCCAATGTCGCTGACCACTTCTTCGCAAGTTTGGCCTGAAAGTACAGTGATTCATTTTGGGGTTTTCTGTTGCTGTTTTTTTGTTCATCCTCACCCCAGGATATTTTTAGAGAGAATGGGAAGGAAGGGGAGAGGCAGAGGGAGAAAAACATCTATGTGAGAGAGACACATGGATTGGTTGCCTCCCGCATGCACTCTGCCTCCCACATGCGGGATCTAGCTTGCAACCTAGATACGTGCCCTGGACCGGAATCAAACCTGGCACCCTTCAGTCCACAGACCAATACTCTATCCACTGAGCCAAACCGCCTAGGGCTGAGTGATTAATTTTGCATTGGAGGGTCAAGTTCTTGCATGCCAGCCTACCGATGGGCCTTACGTACAAGGAATGAGCCAGGCCAATGGAAACGTTCAGTTGTTTAAGTGCGAGTCTATTTAAACTCCATGAAATAAAAGAGGTACAATCCTCATTCTTTCACCCCCAAGACATTGTGCTGAAGCGAAATCTTATGAATAGTAGCACATGAATACAGATCATGCAGAACACTTGAGTTTTAGAATAAATAATTAATGGAACTAGAGTCGGTAGGTGGCAGATAGTTATATATTAAGGGGCCAACTTAAACACTTTCATGCTGTTGCTGAATTTCTTATTTACGCCGAAAAAATGATTGCTCAGTCCTGAAGGAGCCGTAAACTTACACAGGAAAAGGAGACACTCGGCTGCAGGTCTCGGCCATCCATGGATGGCGTTATCGGCGAGAGAATTATAACTCTTAACTCTGTTAGCGGGAAAACCGGCCTGTTTTCCATTCAGAGTGACACTGTTCAAGATACAGGCATAACTGACATCTCTTCGTTGATCCTGAACTAAGATCTATCACAGGCTCTGAGAGAGAGTCTGGTACTTAATGTCAAACACGGGAAAAACACGCGCCAGCCCGTCACCGATGTTCTTGGCAAAAGTATGGCGGATGGAAAATTCAACATGAAGGGACTACTTGATGAGTTCAATCCAAGTGCCAGCCTTCCTGATGTAATTCCGGTTTTCCCAAACACAGGGTGACTTTCTCTCCTATTTTCTTGCTTAAATTCTCAGGACTCGGAGTTCAGGTCATCTGTCCAATAACCCCTTTCTGACCGCTCACCCCACCACACCACGACTGTAGTAACTGCCCCGGTGATGTATCGGCATAGATCTTGCATGTATTTTATCACCACACGTTTTTCATTTTGTACTGAAGTTTACTTTTGCATTGTGACGTTATCCCCCAAAACTGAAATCTTATATCTCATTCACAGGCCACCTTCTAGTAGGGGCTCAATAAAATCAGTTCCGTCATGGCGCTGTCTACCACACAATGAGCAAACTCTTCGGTTCGTCCACAACCTGCCCCCCATGATCTCTCCACTGTTACGACCATTACATTCCCTCATGAACCTGCTTTGCCACACAATCAAGTGACTTAGGATCTCCAGGACCTGCCCCACGTTGCCCACCCTGTGTCTTTGTCCGCACGGCCTCCATACCCTGGAAGTCCCAGCCTCCCTGATGTCATTCCCTAACCACACGTTTGTATTTTCCAGTCCGACCGGCATTTCAAAGGCCAGTTCTACAGACGATGCTCTTTCCAGCCCACATACTGGCTCCCTCCCCTGAATGCCCATCAGATTCCACCCGTGGCCTGCACCACCACTTTATCACGTAAAGTGCCCAGGAAAGGTTTGTGGGATGGACGGTAACGGTTTTACTACATCCCAGGAAATCCTTTCCATTCCCTCCCCGCCTCAGAAACAAGACACGAACCCCTCAGAGTCTATGAAATACTCGGCACCCTGTTCGGGCCCTATTAACCAGCCGCTGGGGCAATGAAGCCTCGATGTGGAAATACCTCTGTCGCTTTAAATGAATTATCAACAATCAACACCTGGCCGAGGAAAACCAATAGGTGTGCCTTCCTTGTCACTCTTGCCTTCTTTTCCTCCCTGCTGGATTTATTAATGCCCATCTCATCAGAGCTATAATAAGCCTGAAAATTAATGTCCGATGTCT